AATAAAGGTTGAAAACGAATATATGCGACGCGTACCAGTTTTAAAAAGACTTATAATTAATGTATGCGACGGTAAATCTGATGAGGAAGGTGATGAGGGTGATGGTAGTTTTATAAATATAATTTTTCTATTAGTTTTTAACAATTCATAAATAAAAAATTAAATCAGTAAATCTTTCTTTTGAATTTAAATTATATTTGCTTGTTAAGTACAACTCTGTACAGGTATCAGTATCAGCAGGCAAAAACAAATGACTTTAGTTGGGCAAAACATTTTACACTATATCTTGACCGGTATAATAGAAACCACTTTATATACAATATCACCGGACTGTGATAGTTCAAAACAATCTTAATCAAACCCAAACGCTTTATTGGAAATGCTCACGAGTAGAACCGTTCGGAGATGTGATTTTCGTTCATGCAAACAAGCCTAATGATTTGAATTTATAACTTTTATTAATTTATAAAATAAACTTCACTAAAGAATTAGCCTTCAGCCAGCCGTGTTTTGAAAGCCGGACCTTTCCCATGAGAACTCATCATTCAAACTTTTGCACCAATTAACATTTTAAATTTAAATAAGTTGATTTTAGATACGTATTACAATTTACATAGTACTATTTACGGTTTATTTTTAAGTATAAACGAATACCTAGAGGATTGCCCATTATTTATCGATTCTTCAGAAGAATCGCTAATTTTTAATTATATTTTACATTAATAACTAAAAAATATAGTGACAATTAGTTTGCACTAAATTGTAACAAGTAGTAGGTAAATACAAACTGTGGATTTCATATCCATTCTAAATGAAATAAAATTATATAAGTTTAGTAAACTGATATATTGAGCCTGTAGAAAATAGATAATATACATCTAGGCTAAGAAAAATATGTTTCCCTTTTGTAAACTTAATCTGTGACATTTCTTCAATAATCTCATAATTTTCAGCATAGTTAAGTGTGTTAGCACCCCATTAAACCCTACCTTCTCTGCCCGAGCTCTGTTTTCACTCGTAAAGAGGTAAATTGTGGGGAGATTATTTGATATTATTTTAATTTATAAAAACTATAGCATAATAAATCCAAAATAATATGGAAAGTAAAATTGATTATTTCTTTTTTATTACCAATTTTTATACCTTTAAGAGAAGCAGATGGAGACTTTAAGAACCGACCTAGTCCAAACTTCTGGCTTTGTGCGAAGTAACGGGGCCATCGAGAAATCTCCCGATTTTTAATTATTAATTAAAAGGAAATACCCAACTCTGAAATTTGCGGAGCTTAAGGTATGATTTCGTAGCGACGTCGAACGGTTGCGGCTCGCCGCGATATCTGGCAGTGACTGCCAGCCGTATGAAGACTAGATATAAGGAAGCGATTTGGCAACCCAGATAGCACAGGACGTCCTAAGGACGTCCATTACATGTCCATTTATCGGCTGTACGTCCAGGACCAATTCTGGACGTTAAGTATGTCCAGTTTAGTAAATCCTCGGGACGTCAAGAAATATATATCCGTAGAATGTTAATTCTACGTGCTTTATTATATTTCCATGGATTCACATTCGCATTGTATTATTATTTGGTTACATTACATAAACAACATATATAATGAGATACTTAATATAAATAATTATTAAAGAGGGCATTGTCCCAATATCAAATTGAATGAAGACCAAGTAGACAAAAATCGAAGAAGGCCATTGCAAGAAAGGGACATAATTGACAAGTGACATTTTATTATATTTTTATTATTTATTTAGATTCAAGCACTGAAATATTCCCAGGGCTCAGATTTTATTAAAAAAAACATGGTGTTCAATGTTCATGATTCGATGGTATGTACATATTATACGAGTACAAGTTCTATCATTCCGCCATTTGACTGCTGCCAATCCAGGCATAATTAAAAGGGGCAAAGTAGAGAAGGAACGGGATGAATTTGACGAAAAAGTTTTAATAATTTTATTATTCATAGGTTATTTGCTTCCAAATAATTTTTTTTAAATTATTCATTATTTTTACTAATTTCCTTAAACATCCTGTTATTCCCTATTTGAGCTTTTGAAAATGTCCATGGAATGTTCTTAAATGGACGTTCTTAAGATATCCTGATTATTAACAATGGATGTTTCAAAGAAGTCCATAAGATGTCCAAGTCCGTGAAATGGACGTTGTAAGGATGTCCTGAATATCCAAGCAGGAAGCTCTTAGAACGTCCATAAGACGTATTTGTGCTATCTTGGATTTATCAAATTTCTGTCTTTGTTATAAAGTTCGCTAAATTGACTGTAGTTGGCAGGTCGAACGTCACTGACGTCAATGTAAAATGAAGTGATTTTTTAAAAAATTGGTGAAGAGAATCAAAATAATGTATAATTCAAAAAAAATGTAGACATAAAATTGTACTTTCACCATTTAACAAATCTTTTAGAATTGTGTCATACCTACCTAAATTGCATTTTATATAGATAAAATTAAATAATTTATTAATTAAAACATGCGAGAGTTATTTAAAAATAAATACAACAGTATATTCTGTGCTTTATTTGGCAATAAACAAGTTTATTTTTATTATTTTGACAAAATTATGTAAAATTCCCATAAGAAGCCATGTATTTTGGATAGCGGTACTTGCACCAGCGCCCTTGCGGTGAATTAGAAAAGCTCAATTAGCTTTCGTTTTTTGAGACCGTATTTCGAGTATGACGATTTGCCTCCTTATCTCTAGTCTTCATAGCCAGCCATTACGTCAAATGTTTTTATTTAAACGTCTGCGTCTGCCTTTAGGCACAGAATAACTTACCTATGACAGAAGCGAAGAATATCTAATTTTTAGGATCCAAAATTTTTTGCGCATAATCAGGTCCGCCATTTTAGAACTGGCAAAACTGTCATGTCACCAGGACCGACGAGAGGGAGGGGTAGCCGGGACAAATTCCCGGGGCCCGGGCACAAATGAAAAAATGCAGTTACTGGACATTTTTGCACTCAACAGAAGACTCGAAAGAAAGAAAAGCCATTGGAGCTAGTAAAGTGAACGTTAGTGCTAGTGTAAAACAGTGTAATACGTTACGCCATTTATTGGTGATGCTTTTCTATCAACGACGAACACCTACTAGATTAATTTTGTTTACAAAAATTGAATTGCAAACAATCACGGATTTATCCACCGAGTTGTCAAATTATTATAAGGCTCTAAAACACATAAAAGATTTTCAAAATTACAGTTGGGAAGTATATTTGCATTTTTAATGCCAGTTATTATCAGTTTAATCTATTTTTCTAGATCGAATTATCGTAGTTGAAGGTGTTTTCCAGGAAAGTATACAATTAATTAATACATTAATAAATTGTAAAAGAATCACTCTGCTAACTAAAGAGTTAGTGTTATCTAAAAAAAACTGATGAATTAAGACGAGTATTCGGTCTGGTTCCTCAAGTAAAAACCTTTTTTAATTTAGCGATCGGTACAATTTACTTTCAAATAAATTATTGTGAAGCCTTATTTTTCTAATTATATCACTAACATTCAATTCAGAGAAGAAAGAGTGGATGTTGCTAAATAGGTTTGTTACAGATATTTAAATCCTTTTCTCAGTGTATTATCCGAATTTATATGAATCTTGTTAATTTTTACCAGTGTAACAACCGGCAAAAACGTCAACTGTCACCAAGTGTCACTTTAAATTTTGACCATCCCAACATCAAACTGCCGACGCAAGCCTTCGCTTCTGTAATAGATAGGTTATTCTGTGCTTTAGACAGTAGCATTTGTGAGTTTGAAATGAGAATGAATAGCCTAAGAAATTAAATCGGAAAATTTAGATGCATTGGTTTTGTTAGAAGATGAAGAAGTATATCATGGTTTTACCAAAGCAACAAGAAAAAATGTTTAATCCAAAAAATTAACAATAAATATATTTTTGGTAAATTATCAGGTACATTTTTTACAAAAGGGTTATTTTAAAAGATAAGAAGCATCATCAATGCCAGTTATTCAGAGTATTTATTTGACTTTATACTTGTAAAAATATTTATTTTAAATAAAAAGTTATTTTTCTTAATTTCTCAATTTCAGGATTCTTTATCATGAATCACCCCTATACCATTTATTGTAATTCACTCAGATGTGATCAGTAGCATGTTAATATGTTGCTTATTTATAGCGATGCATGCATCATATTTTCAAAAACCGAAATTACAGTACGTCCAGCTACATATCCACTTATTTATATCATACACTTGCCTTAAAAATAGTCTTGTATATGAACATTTTGAACCTTTGTCTGCCTGAATAAGTTTTAAATGGGGAGGTGGCATTCTCAAAGATTTAATATGGCATTTTTAGCAAGGTGTCTCAAAAAATTAAGTTTTTAAAATATTTTGTACACTATTATTAGACATGTTATAAAAATGCCATAATCGAATCACCCGGATATAAACCCAACGTGTAGATTCCCTACATCTATTATAAATGCTGGACCTTAGAGCCAAAAAGTATTAAGTCCATTTTACAAAATTTTACAAAACAAAAAATAATAGGACTTAATACTTAGCACCAATGGAAGGAGCAGGAAAAATTATGTAGGAGTAACCAAAAACTTGAAAATGAAAAAAGGTGGACTTAATACTGTTTGGCTCTGAGGTCCAGATTGATGTTAAAATAATTACAATTATACGCGGTTTATCTCTCATAATAATCTACAACACATGTTGATCACGCAGTTTGATTGCTAAATCTCTTCGGTACGTCGACTATAGTTCTTAATTTTGATGTTGAAAAGTAAAAAGTTGCTAAAAAGAATTTGTTTCATCTAAAAATACTACTTGCTGTTCAAAATTAATGGAAACGAAAATACTTCGTGTAACTGCGATAAAGATTCTAAAAACAGAGTTTACAACAGAATTAAATAATAAATACCACCTATACTTTAATTCAAATGCAATTTAATTATCCAGATTGCACTTTGATATCAAAAATAGGAGTATATTACTTGTACAAATGGTAAATCGATTCTCCAGGATGAAAGGTCTTAATCCCTCTATCGAAAGCTTTGTAATGATACTGCTTAACATCTGATTTTCTCTTTATAGTTAGCAAACCAGTAACGTCCTGAGACATACCAGTTTTCAACGAAGATACTTCAACGTGAACATCAGCTACATACTCCAAGTCATTAGAGATGATTTCATCCAACTTCGAGGAAACGTGATTGTTAAAAACTACAGATACATCGTTATCGTCTATAAAATTCATACAATAATGTAAAAATGTTAAAGTTTCGTTGATGTTAACACCCAAATCGTGCAGATGACTCAGATCATCTATTATTAAGTAAACGGATTTGTTGTTTTCTTTTAACACTCTTAAACTATCTTTTATATCTAAGTATAGTTGCTTCACAATATTTTCCGTATTTTCTTGTAAATACTTATCTTCTTGGTCTATATTCTCTAGTAAATCTCTTATTGGTTGTATGATTTTCACTATTCCTTCGTCAACTCCTTTGAGTAAATCGTAACCTAATTTTTTTCCTATATTTTGATAGTGATCGAGTGTGTTATGAAAATTTACTAAACACAATCGTTTCTTCTCGTAAATTATTTTTTTTATTAAGTGTGTTATTACGAAGTTCGAGTCGGCATTGGGAGTTTCTTTGATTGCTATAATGTTGTCTTCTTCTCCGATTTGAAGAGCAGCTAATACGGCGTTAGAAGCAATGGGGTCTCCTAAGGAAATCATTGTTCATCTAAAAAAAAATAAACATTAATATTATCGATTAAAATTATAAAATTTATAAGCAGACAAAAATGTGAGCTTATTATTCATGTCAAACATCGGACTTCTTAACAGTAACCTCAGCAACTAGTAAGTGTTCATTATCAGCTGTTGCAAGCTTACCAATTTGGTTAAACTGATTGAATTTTGAGCACTATTTGTTTTTAATTTAATAACGAATATATTTATTCTTTTTTACAAAAAGATGAAGAATTTTTAGCAAATATCAAGCTATACAAGGGGAAGAAGCCCATTGATTTTGAAAATGTTTTAAAATGGAGAATTTAAAAGGGGTGGAAATAAAAAAAACAAATCAAAGACGAAGAGCGATATCAACATGAATTTTTTAGTAAAATAAAGCTCTATAAGGAGAGGAATGCTATTGATTCTGATAAAAATCAATGATGGTTAAGGGAGGTTGAAATATTTAAAAAAATTCTAACTCAAAAAGGAAAAATAATATGAATTTTTTAGCAAAAACCAAGCTCTTTAAGGGGTGAAAGCCTATTGAATAAAGAAAAATTAATAAAATGGATTAAGGGAAGATGAAATAAAAAACTATAAATCAAAAACGAAAAGCGATACGACATGAAATTTTTAGTAAAAATCAAGCTCTATAAGGAGAGGAAACCTATTGCTTCTGATAAAAATCTGAATAAAAATGGAGGCTTAAGGGGGAGTTGAAATATTTAAAAAAATTCTAACTCAGAAATGAAAAATAATATGAAATTTTTAGCAAAAACCGGGGACAAAGCCCAAAATCTAATCAGTTCACCTCAGGCCGGAATAAAGTTTAAGTTAAAGATTTGGTTTTTCTTTTTATCCGTTTTTGAGTTTTCCTCAAAATTCGAAATTTACGGTTTTTCTCAAATATCTCCAATACGGTCTATTTTAGAGAAATTATGTATAGGATAAGAATTATAAAGAATAATATCACAAACAAATTTCATTTGAACAATTTTCTTAAAAATTTGATTTTTTTACATTTTGTCAAACTTTTCGAATACGGACCATTTTAGGAAAATTTTGTATAGCGTAAAAATTAAAGAGATAATATTAGAAGTAATTTCTATTTCTTCTCCAAACGTAAATAACAGATATATTCCATAACATATAAAAATGACTCCCTAGAATATAAATAATATAAAAATTTTAGGAGAACCAAACAAAACCTATTGATTTTAAAAAAATCTGATAAAAACGTGGGGTTGAGGGGGGTTAAAATAAAAAAACTAGAACTCAAAAACGAAAACGATATCAAATTGAAATCTTGAGGAACAATCAAGCTTTATAAGGGGATAAAGCCTATTGCTTCAGAAAAAATCTGATTATAAAAGGGGGTTAAGGGGAGGGGGTCTGTTAAACTTTGAAGAGTATAAATCTAGAACTCAAAAACGAAAACGATATCAAATTGAAATCTTGAGGAACAATCAATCTTTATAAGGGGATAAAGCATATTGCTTCAGAAAAAATCTGATCATAAATGGGGGTTAAGGGGAGGGGGTCTGTTAAACTTTGAAGAGTATAATGTAGAATGCCAAGCATTAATATCTTCATTCTAATTTTTCAAATACGTCGGCATTTGTCAAAAGAATAAAAAAGAAATTTAAAAATAAGATTTGAAATGATGATGTACCTACTTAATAAAATCATTAAAATACGAAAAGTTTCTTAATCGCAAAAATAGCTAGAAAATATCCCCTATCTGAGAACGATATCGTCTTTAACAACGTCAAGTCTATCAATGTAAAACTAGTTGGTTCTTTTAATTCTTAAGCCTGTCCACGTAAAATTATTTGGTCTCTTTACCTTTTAAGCCTGTCCCTGTAATAATATTTAGGACCTTTGACCCTTAAAGCAGGAGCGGTTTCTACAGTGATTCATTTGTGCAGTAAACACCCAGTTAATATTCATAAAAACACATTATTTTAAAATCACATAAATAAATCAATTTTAATATATTTATTATTCTCGTACGTGTTTTTTTTGTGTCATCGGCTTCAGCTGCTAAGGTTATTTCGCCTCGTGTTCTGTGTAGGCTTTGTTACTGTTTCTCATCGCCACTTTAGGAACAGCACTGTTAATTAGAACCCAACAGTGAATGGTCGAGTGGGGAATCCTACCAAGGCATCAGAATTAATTTTAAATAATTAAACGAAAAAATCCCGGCCAACGGTGGGATTCGAATCTGGAACCCTTGGATCCGCAGGCAGAGACTTTACCACTGAGCCACCCACCCCCTCTCTCGTACGTGTTAATCTCTACTTTGTTTGGTACCCCACTGGCTTTGGCTGATCGCGCCTGTTGGTGCAATATGTTAATTGAAGGCGAGAGGTTTCCGCTAAAGGCCTGTAGTTAAAAAAAAAGTCAACAGATCCGTGAAACAGTGTGCCTACTTGAAACCACGCTATTCTTAGCATCATTGTGTGCATCGCACGTAGATTACGTCACAACAGTTAATTTCGCTTGGTCCAACGATTAGTCGTGCTTAGTCAAAGTCACTCTGACTTAATCCAACCTTGCTACATTTAGTAATTTCTGCTTTTTTGATAATTTTCACCTTCTTTGGTTAGTTTTAGTGGACAATTTTTTTGGTAGTTTTTTAGCAATCTCTATAAATTAATAAAAAAAATCTAATTACTCAAATAAAACTGAAAATGATTGCTAAAAATGTTAGGGCCGGGCGATTATCAAAATAAACAATCAGTTATTTTCGATTAATCGATTACTTAAAAAGATTCCATGCTTTACGATTAATCGATTTTTTTCGATTAACCGATATTTTCAATTAATCGATTCTTTTCGATTAATCGATTATTTTCTATTAATTCCTTTCGATTAATCGATTCTTTTCGATAGATCGATTATTTTCGATTAACAGCTGTTTTTGTGTTTGCAGTTTATGCCTTTCAATCAGTATGAATATCTCTAAAAAATCGGTTTTTCTAATGATGCTGAATTATCAAGAGGAAGAAGATATGTGATATACCAGTTCATAATTAATTGAACCTTTATTATCTTCTATTTCTATAAAAAAATAAAATGCCATGCGTTATAACAGACAAAAGTATAAACTATTACATATCTGCATTACTTAACTATAATCGTATTTCTATTTTACCTTGGGAAAATACAGTGACACCTGTTTTACGGTCAAATTCGTAACGAAATAGTCGTGCCTCTACTCTCTACTCCCGGAGCAGTCAAGCGACTGGCGGTCAGACCAAGGACACTTAACTTCTCTATTAGAAAAGGAAAATAATTCCAACTCAAATGTGACCAAGACATTTAATAAACTAAATAAAATTCAAAGCCAGTCTCACAAAATAATACGAGCGACTCCTCTGGCTAATACCGCAACAGGTATTGAATTATATCCAAAGGAAAGACAGCAGAGATAGAAAAAAAAATTTAACACTCTATCTTTGATTTTGCTCACTAAGGAGAACGTCATTCTTGGACTAGTCTCGTCCTTATTAGGACTCTTCAGCAAGAAATAGATAACGAAAATCTACAAATTAAAAAATTATTTAATGTTTTTTAGACAAAATATCTAATTTTAAAATAATTTATAAATTTTAATAATATATAAAATAAAAATGAAAAAAAAAAGCCAGACAGGAAACGATCCTGGACTTTTCGCGCGGAACGCAACAGCTCTGTCCACAGCTCCACGGTCGGTTTTACAATTTTTGTTTTAATACTCGTAATTAAATTAGTTTCATACAGTTTGAATAAAATTTAATTTTTTTTTTTTTTTAAATGTGGGCCAAATAAAAATGCTATTATTTATCGATTCTACACAAAAGTAGCTCATTTTAATGTATATTTAATCTCAACAACTAAAAAATATACTGACAATTAGTTTGCCTTTTATGCCGGAAGGCCCGGTATTCAAATCTCGAATGGCAACATATTAAATTAATCCTTTTTTTATTATTAAGTAAAAGTCATAAATTATTTTTAAATTAGTTATTTTATTTTAATCTAAAATAATTTTTAATATTTGTAAATTTTAGTTAATGGGTCGTAGAAAAAATATACTGTACAACTAGAGTGGATTTTCCATATCCACTCTTGTTGCAAAAGCTACTATTGTATTATGTCATGTTTGTAAGAGCAATAACCAAAAAATGTACGTGAATATATTTAGTAAAATTACAAGTATTATGTAATTTTTTTTAAGCTTGACTTAAAAACCGCACACAAATTATTATCTTTTAGAATTTCAATGACGCATAACGTATGTGAAAATTGCTGTAGCATTTAATTATTGGTTTTGGCAATCATTTTCATGCTAACTTAAATTGAATTAATGGTCATTCCGGATAAAAATAATTACATACGTATTTAACTAGTTTACAGTGTAAAATATAGAAGAAATGACTTAAAAATTCTCAACTATTTTCAAAACTTCAGATAATACTAATATATAAGTATTTAATAATTAATACTTAATAATAATTAAAAAATTTAATGACAAAAACATAAAAAGAGCGATTAATTTCTGATTGTTAGACAAGCATTTCAAGGTAAGTCTGAATATTTTAAATTGGCATTAGTTCCTACTTTTTGTCTACTCAATACAGGTGCTAGTAAATTCCGTTCATATTTTCGGGTAATGATATAGTTATTTATGATACAAGTTCGTAAAGTGATAGTTTTTGGCACGAGTACGTATTCTGTTGCGTAAGACTTGCGCACTGTCGCAGATAAAAGATGATGTATGATGTATTGATATATAATATACAGTGAGCACGTAAATCTTGGAGCAAATTCGTTAAAATGGACAGGTCGATTTTTTTTAAATGCGCATATTTTGGTATATATATTTTATGACGTCATCAGTTTCATAAATATGACGTCATCGCCAATTTTTTAAATGCCATCGACCATTTTATGATACATGTACAATAAAAAAAAAAGTAGTGCGATGTCGTAAGACCGTTTGTGTGGTTACATTGTTTGCGA